TTCTGTTGCCGATATTTCTTTCAGTTGACTTTGAAATTTCTTAATAAACTGTTGGTCGTCGGAGTTGTAATTGGTATCAGAAAAAAATATTTATTGAATAAAAATAATACTAATTCATTGCGAAATTTTAATAAAGTGTTTGAATAAATTTGTTTTTGTTTGCGAATTAACACATCAAGTGTCATGAAGCTAATTGATGTGATTATATATTTAATAGCAATTTTAATTTTTCTTTACTTATTGTTGGATTAAACGTGTTCGATAACATTACGCTTAAATCGAAACGTATCTATTGATCTATATACTTTTTTTCTTACTTTGCTAAAATTTTTAAACTAAAATAAAAAAATAACTGAAACTATACTTCTAAAAAATTTCAAAAACTATTTACTTTAATTTTAAACTAATTTATTAAGAAACCAACAAATACAATGAAGGTAAGTGTAGAAAGAAAGTGTTGTTTAAAAACCCAATTATTTTAAGTGAAATTCTTTTTGTTGTTATTTTTGTGCCAAGTTTTCACCTGAGGTGTTTAATGAAAAAATTTTATTGTGATAAACTAAAAAATTTATTGGAAAATTGTGTAAATCATTGTCGGCGATTTAATGAGTTGACCATATATATGTACAATTAATGTGTTAAATATCTTAGAATTGTTTAATTTAAATTAAATTAAATTTGAATTATGTTTTATTTACCAAAGTTGATGTTCAAGATTTCTTTATGGAAATATTTATTATCACATTTCTCATTTATGCTTTAGAGCAAACGTTTTTCTTTTCATTTCAAACCAATTTTCCAAATAAGGAAATAACTTTCGTTCTCTGTTTTATTGAAATGAAAGTGGTTTTACAGTGTAACAATAAATAATTTAAACAAGCGGTAAAAGGAATCAGAGTAATAACAAATACCCTGAATGATAAATGTTAATGAAATCAGGGATCTTGCGGTTGCGATAGCATTTACCTCAAAAAACGATTTGGCTTAATTGAATCTGATTTTTAGTTCCTTGACAATTGAAGTCATTTGCTAAAGTATATTTGCTTAACTTTTGACATTTTAATATACTTCACACATGTCGAATTTCTAATAAAGGACCTAAAATGACCATTAAGATTATAAAGAGATAAGAGATATAAAGAGCGTTATTTAAGGATCTTTTCATATAAGAAACTATTTCGAATGGAAAATATGAGTGATCACGGATATTCATTATTTGCTCAATTTAAGAGGCTGCAGCTTCTTATTATAGGTTTTTTAAAGATCACTGGGAGATCACTGATTTTCAATATTTTTTCAATTGAAGCCATATTTATGGATCTACAACCTATTTTTCTAAAAGGAAATGTGAGTGAGGAAACAGATTCCACTATTTGTTTAAATATGATTTCACTATTTGTTCATGTGGGACGTATTTAAGAATCTACAGCCGATTTTAGGTTTTATATACAAAAACTGTTATCTAAAGGAAAATATGAATGATAACAGAATCCACTATTTGTTTAAATATGAATTTTTGATGGATAATGTTAATTATCACAGATTTTCACTATTTGCTCAAATGGGACGTATTTAAGGATCTTAGGTTTTGCATATCAAAACCTATTTCTAAAGGAAAATATGGGCGATAACAATTTGCCGAAATATGGATTTTTAAAGGAAAATCTTATAGAGCTCAGATTATTACTATTTTCTCTATTTATCGATATAAAGCCCATTATGGGTTTTTTAAGGAAAATATGGACAATCTCGAATTTCCACTATTTGGCCAGTTGAGGGCCTTATTTAAGAATATACAGACGATTTTAAGTTTTGCATATAAAAATGAAGTTTTGATGGAATATTTTAGTCGAGCAATGTTTGGGGATCAACAGTCCATTATAGGTTTTACATATCAAAATTGATTTCAGCACTGGTTTGGATGTCCTAGGTTAATAATTTAGCAAAGTTCTAGTCTGTCATATTCAGGGCTGGGAGTTCAATTCTCCTCGAGAGACTTTGATATATTTCACTACAATGTGTTAATGGAATTATGACATAAATAAAGTCGTTTCTTAACTTATCAAATTAATGTAGGATCTAATTTCATGTCAATTATATAGCTAGAGTTCTGGTTTTGGATGCACCGGTAGTTTGTAGTGTCTTAGTCGGTTCTGTGATTAAGTTCTCTGCAAGAGATGTACTTTTGCATTATTTCAGATTCATAAATACTAGTTCCCGGCCAGGAAGAAAACGTTAACTTCACAGTGAAACTGTTACAACAATAACAAAGTTAACTTAACATTTCTATACAAAATAGTATCAATATTATAACAAAAAAAACTTTTCCCATTTTTATTCTATTAGAAAATTCATTTCTTATATGCCTAAAAGTATGCAATATTAACAATAGCTTTGAACATAAAGATTCTTGGAATATTCTCGAAAAAAAAAAACAGAATCTTAAATTTCAATCTTATAATTTTAAAATAATTTTTTCTAAACTGTAAAAATGGCCACCTTAACTATAACCATATACATAGATAAATCTTTCTGAACTCCCATTACCTTTTTAAACATTTTTGGCGAAGTAGAAGAAAAACAATACAATTTAGTTTTCATTTATAACTTTAAACAAACCAAATAAAATTTTCAAATAACAATGATTAAATTAAAGACTATATGATTACGTGCACCAATTAATGCTGTAAGTGAACTCATTCACTGATGCATACACTAGTGAGTAAGTACATCTTATTAAGAAAAAAAAACTATATGATAAAACACACGCAATAAGTTTCAAAAATAAATATGGAATTAATAAATACAAAGAAATAAACAATAAAACAAATAACTGTAGACAACATAATTTTATTTTTAAACAAATATGAATGAAACATTAATACTTAATACATATTTTAGATAAAAGACAATGTAATGAAATTTGTTTAAAATGAGAAATATATTGATTTAATTGTATTTTAATTAAATGATATTGGGTAATATAAACTGATAGGCGAACTTTGAGAAGAAAGCTTACTTTCTTCCATTTGGAGTCTATAATTCATTCATTCATTCATAGTGCTTACGAAGTGCTTAAGTTTGAATCAACCAACAGAATATATTACCTGACACACAGACCTAAATGTTCGTGGTCATTAAACTTTACAAATTCCCTATTGATCAGGCAATGCAAGTAGGATCTATCAAGGCTGGATCATCTGGCAGAAGTCAATCTGTTTAGGATATCTCCAATGTTCTTTTAGTTCCAACTCCGTTGGGATTTATTAAGAGTAGCTGAATATAAATGTAATATTCCAAACCATATAAATGTAATATTCCAATCGGTAAAATTAGCTCTTATTCTTATTGTTAGCTCTAGTTCTTATTGTCTTTTATACATGTGCAAGACATTCATAACATTTATTGATCTAGATACGTTTAGAAGGACCAAGTTAATGTGGGCTTCTTTCCGAAAGAGAAACACATTAAGCAACTTCTAACCTGAAATAGGCTAGATATATCGAAGTTGCTGTCAGTAATAACTAAACACTGGCTGCTGAGCAGATATGCAATTCGGCTTAAGATTCCTTTCAAAGGATTTAGTTGCAGTTGCAGAGGAAACGAGTTCCTACCTTCTCTATTCTCATCAAGGCGATCTATCTAGCACTTGCAATGGAGGAAATGGATTTCCATCATCTCTACGAGTGGCCAGAACTAGATAGCAATATGAATAGATTCTTAAGCAAATCCATTACATCCAATCTTGGTGAATTATCTAGGTTTAGACTCAAAAACCTATTGAGATATCTCACTGATATAGGCTTGATCTAATGCCACATTAATATAAACTACAATACCTCTGGTGCGTGGAGTCTTGTCTTGACACGTTCCATACCACTCTTCTTAACAGTTTGTTTCCGACAGTAAGAGTTGCCGACAGGAAAGAGTTCAAAATTTCGGCATAAGTTTTACAAAAAAGTCACAAATTTTGCGCATAATATCTCCATATCTTTGAGTCTATGCTCGAATATATATCAAAGAAATAGTTATTTTCCCAGACATTATGTATATCAAATGAAATGGTATCTCCATATATCTATAAAGAATACGAAACTAAGTAAAATGCCAGGGTATCCCACGCTGGTTTAAAGGAAATCCTCCAAGTCGACCTATATCTTCAAATAGGAAGCTGGAAACCTTTAAACACTTTAGTAAAATTTGAGTTTTTAATGGTACTCCACCAGTAAAGTTGAAGAGTTTTAATAGTCTCCACCAGGGTATAAACAGTTGAGATTTAATGGTCTCCACCAGGGTATAAACGGTTGAGTTTTAATGGTCTCCACCAGGGTATAAACGTTTGAGAATTCTATGGTCTCTACCAATAAAACATAACCTCACTTGAGGTGATACGAAATCACGAGGTTAATGTAGACAACATATAACTTTGAACAGTTACATGAAGTAATACACTACACCAGTGCGAGCGAGACGCAAAACTGTCGAAAGCCAGGCAACAAACACAAGCCTGAAGGCGTTTTAAAAAATAATCGCGATGACGCGAGAGCTGTTCCCCAACTCAGGCCTGAATTACGACTGAAACTGCTGACTTTGATCAAGGATCAGCTGATTGTGTGTCAACTAAATCGACTCAGAATAACTTACTAAGTCAATGACAATAGAGAACCATAAATATCCGGCTGAATTTTTAATCAAAACTTTAGGTCAAAATATTGAACATAAATCGGTGATTTAAAATTGATCCCTTAGTTTGCATGAATTTTTTAAAAGGTCAATAGAAAAGAGTTTCTATTAAAATAGAAATCTGAAAATCTATTTTCGAATTTTAGGTCAATATTTTTAAATTCAAACGGAAATTTAAAACTACTGACTAAAATTCACCTGCAGAGTTTAACAAGTTAATAGCAGACCCTACTAAATACTAAAGTGTATAATTGTGACATAATTTAACACTAATTTTATAAACAAGTCATAAATTTTCAAAAAATTTATAAATTTATTTGTATCCCTGCCCATAACATTATAATGGTTATTAAAAATTTTGGGTGAAAAAAAACAACAGTTAAATAATTAACAAATTAAAATGCATAAAACGTTAATAGAAAATTTGTAATAATAAAAAATTTCACCCGCTGCAGAGCACCTATTAGCAGTTAAAACAAAAGGGAATTCTATCATACAAAAAAAAATAGAAACAAATTAAAAGTCACGTTTAAAAAAACGACCTTAAATGTACAATACATTTCCTAAGGAAGTAGAGTTATAATTTCTTTAACACAACTGACTGACAGACGGTGATGACCAAAATTGAACAATTGTTTAAGTTTAAAGTAAAAGTGTTTACAGTTTAAGAAAACAAAACCAAAAGAAAACTACTACTCTTCTTAGACATATTTACACTTGACAATTTAACAGACATTACCAAAGAAAGATTGACTGGCGTGTTAAGTATTTTGAAGCAAAGACCTAAACCACTAAACAAGCAAAACATCAATAAAGTAACTAAAACGACAAGCATAACGATCGAGTCATGTCTAAGGCCACTTTAATGAGGAGACGTGATTTTATGTGCAAATTATATTTATTTATTTGTAACTAACAACAACAAATAATACGTTATTAAACGTGTGTATTTTTTTTTTTTTTTTTGAAATCTAAAACATGATTTTATTTATGAATTAAATTTTTATGATTTTTCTTTAATGTAATCAAGAAATTCATTGATTTAATTGCACTACTAGCTTTGTTGTTACTGTTTATGTTTTTTTTTATAGATTTAAACATATTTAATTTTTTAACAAAAATAGTAAAGAAAAAAAAACCTGACTATTATGGCTTTTTAGAAAGTGGTTAATAATAATAAAAAAATATTTGATAAATTTTATTAAAAAAAAAAGAATTAAGTTGTTAAATTATTAATTATTTGTTTTATATTATCTGGATGTTACCATAAGCATATTGCTGTTTTTTTTTTGTCATAGTAGAGTTAAATCTTTTATAGTTATCTGTTTTATAGAAAGTGTTTAATGGTAAGAGTAAAACTATTTAATAATTTCATTAAACATTAATTCAAAAAGTTGTTAAGATTAACGAAAGTTGTTAAAACAAAGTAAATTTGTTTATTATGGCTTAAAAGTCTTTTAAAACTGTCTAATGGTTTAATGAAGATGTACCCAATGAAAATTAAAATATTAAATTAAAAATAAAATGTTTAGGATCGATCATATTCATAAACTTTTTTCAAAGATTTATAAAACAAAAATATTTACAAAATTTGTGCTATAAAACTTTATGAATAAGACCCTTAATATAAAAAGGTTCCAAGAACAAATTTAGAATTTGTTCTAAAAAGCAAGTGTTTAAGAAGAAGAGCAAACGGGTCCATTGAAATGGATTTCTATCTATCTATTTATCGATTCTATCGATTTAACGATGTCCATCCGCCTGTCTTTGTGTAAACGTTTTTATCAAAGTACAGGTCGCAATTTTCAAGATAATTTGATGAAATTTGGAATACAAGTTTGTTTTGAAAATGGTTAAAATCGCTCCATTATTTCACTTAGCCCCCATACAACTGAACCTCCGAAAAGGGCTTTTGAGCTCATAATTATGTATAATATAAATGTATCTCGATGAAAGTTCACACAACTAAGTTTTATACAAGCCTTGATGACCTTGCCGAATTTCGAAATAATCGGACTTCATTTGACCCTAGGCCCCATAAAAAGCCCCCTTCAGAAAGTGACTTGAATATCCGCAATTCATTCATTAGCACTGTTATTGCCATGAAATTTAGCACAGACAAATATTATATAAATACAAATCTATCCTGACCATTTTGTCGGGATCGGTCCACATTTGCTCCTATCCCCCATATTAAGCCTCTTTTAGAAAATAAGTTTTTCGTCAATAAATTGCTTAAATAATATAATCGGAATCGAGGTAATATTCAAGATAAATGCGTTATTATGAAAAATAAATCACATTTAATATTCATAACTGGTGTAGGGTATCATATGATCGGCCAAGCCCGACTATACTTTCTTACTTGTTTTCATTTAATTTTAAAAATTACACATGCCGATAAAATTTGATAAAAATCGAAACCCTGAAACCAAATTATACTTTTCTAAAGGATTGAGCCGCACTAAATCCGTATCAGATTTTCTCCATCACATTTTGTATTTGAGATATCGTATTTTGATGTTTGAAAAAATGCCATTTTTATCACTTTTTGAGACGTTATAACATCACCCAGACAACTTTATTTATAAAATCTTGTATGTCATGTCCAAGTCCATTCCGTTAACTTTTAAATAAAGGCTTAACATCTAACGTATCGTATTTCTTCTTCTCTCTATTCTTGGTATTTACACCGTACACTGCTATAGTGCAGAGGTTGTTATGCTTTGTTAATATTGTTTATAACGAATAAAAATATAAGATATACACCTATCCGAAGTTGTTCCAATCGATTCAAAATTATATTCTGATTCGATTTAACGATGTCTGTACGTCCGTCCGTCATCTTCAACGGATGATATCTCAACAATTAAAAAAGCTATTGAGATAGCTCACTGCAATAGGCTGAATCTAATGCCGTATCAATATTAACTACAAGACCTCTGGCGAGTGTCATCTTATCTTGATACGGTGCTTATCACTATTCTTGACAGTTTGCTTCCAACCAGCTTCTTAGTTTTATATCAATTAATTTGAATTGTCGACAAGTAAGAGTTCAAAATTTCGGAATAGGTTTGCCAAAAAAGTCACAAATTCTGCGCATAATATCTCCATATCCTTGAGCCTATGTCTGTCCATGTAAACGTAATTGTCAAAGTACATGTCCAGGTTTCTAAGATAAAATGACCCCATAACTAAGCCTAATAAAACTGTTTGAAATCGGAACATTATTTTACATAGTACTCATACAACTGGACCCTCCGATAGCTCATAATTATGATTAATATACAATTATCTTTATACAAAATTTACTCAATGTTGTAAATAATTTTAAATCATATTAAGGATTTCCTTAATGTTTAGTCCATAGACCGCCTGTCCGGAAATCCCTTCATAATTCGGGAATAATTACGGGAATTCCTACAATATTCGACACGAATAAGTTTTTAATAAAATATCCACCTATTGCTATAAAAATGCTCTTTCAGTACAGCAGTTTGTTGCCATTACTACTGAGTTTAAACCCAGTTTAACTTACTGAAACACTTTATCCTAAACACCTGGCCTTTATGTCGCAAAATTAATAGCGCATTTAAAAAATTGTTTCCATCATTCCAAAAATTTCTGTGCTTTGCACCAGATTTTAACATTTGAAATGAAAAAAAAATACACGCAAAACACTAAACTAGGAGGAAATATAATTTTCTTCAAAACAAAATTAAATCAAAAGTAACGCAAATTGTAACAAAATTAAAAACTCTAATTTGCACGATATTTTATTGCAAATGTTACAGTTAATAGAGTTTCTATTAAAGCCTTTAAATGCACAACAAAGTAACCAAAAGGAAGAATTAATTACATATAAATAAATTTGGTTTCCTAATTGTATACATTAAGTAAAATGTAATTAAACTATTTAGCATTTATTGAAGGGTACAAAACCAGCATTCAAAAAATATTTCAATTTAAATTTGTTTAATTAAAGATCTTACACGAATAGCAGACTCGCCAGTAAATATGAAAATCCTATAATATTTGAAAAATCGCAAATGTAGTTTTTGTTTTAATTTGCATTATTATTAAAAAATTAAACAAAAAAGTTCGCCTACAATATGAAAATAAAACTAGAAAAGAATTAAACAATTTACAATTGTACTCACTTTGCTTGGGTGCTGTTGCTGCCTTATTTTATTTGTCCGTTCCTGGATTGTTTAGTAGTTCCTGGTTTCATATGTCTTTTCACATTCAGTCTACAGTCTTTAAATTTCACTTGAATGTTTATAACACTTTTTTTGAACAAACACAATTTAACAATTAATATAATTTTATTCATATCTTTCTTTACAGCCTTTTTATTTAACTCTACTTTTCTTCGCCCTTTTGGCTGTGGCCTGGGGAGAACCTGCTTTGGGAAAACATGCGCCCTATTCCTATCATGGCCCCAAAAATAGCAAACAAGTAGCTTTTGCCCGTGGACCAAATAACAAACAAAAAACTCTAGTAGTACAGATACGTAGTGATCAACCAGTTCCTTTAGTTTTGAAAGGACGTCCAAATTTGGCACACTCTCATGCCGCCCATACACATGCACATGCTCACAGTCATGCTCATGCCCATTTACTCTCCCCTCATCATTTGAGTCATAGTCATGTACATCATCATATTAATGCTGGAGCTACACATCTAAGGGGACAACAGAGACCTATTAAACTGCAAGCAGCTCAGTCATATATGAAAAATCCCACATTCCAACGTAAACCTTTGAAAATTAAATTGACAAATACAAAAACAAAACTATCTCCAGTACACAAGCCAGCCACCAGTTATGATGTACCCTTCAAATATGAAATACCCACTACACAGACTCAAACCTATAGTGATTTACAACAATTGCCGGTAAGTGTTTTTTTGGGGACTTCATTCACTTAATATTACATTAATATTTTTATTTTATTTTATTTATTCATTCATTCAAGTAATACAAAGCCTTTAAGGCCAATCTAACATATTACTTAGTAATTATCACCTAAGCATAAATAATTAAAATAAAATAAAATTATATATATGTACATATATATATATATATATATATATACAATACAAAAATAAATAAATTTTAATCAGATTCTATCAAAATTTTAATGGTTCCCCAACCGTAATGTCAAAAAGCAACAAGAAGAAGTATATAAAAGCAGTAATTTTAAGAAAAAGAATAATGGCCCAAATTAATAGCGACAAAAACCTTCTTTTGCTTGTATTATTTTAAGGTTAAAAAAGCATTATTTGAGGTTAAAAAAAAGCAGAAAGTTAAGTTAAGGTTAAAGAAAATTATAGTTACATTTCCAAGAAACAAATAACAGTTAATCTTACTTACCAATAATAATTTAATAAGTTTGCAGAAGATATAACAAGCATTATACATATCCAACATTTGTGAAAAAATTTAACAGTTTAAGACGGAAAACATTATTAGAGTGTGAAAAAATACGCAATTCAGCCGGTAAAAAATTCCAACACCGAGCAGTTCGTATCAAAAATGATCTTTCGTAAAATGAATTTGTAATTCTAGGTATTAAAATCTGCGGTCTTCTAATTGATCTACTAAAGGTAAATCTTTTAAACAAGGGTAACGGTCTTCCATTTTTAATAACAGTATGAAAAAAAGTAATACACCGAAGTTTTACAAAATTCTCAAAGCTGCATTTTAAAAATTGTTCAACATATTGTGAAATATGATGTCTCCGCTCAACATTGTAGACAAAACGAACTATCGTATTAACAATGCGGTTTATCCTAGATAAGCCAGTGCCATTAGCTCCTGCCACAACTTCAAGTCCATATAAGACTTGTGACATAAGAAGAGAATAAGCCAGTTTATATCTGATATGAAGAGGATAATGAATATTTATAGAAAAAATTTTCCGTAAAGTGTGCAAAACCTTTGAAACAGTATAACCTATATGCGAACTGAAATTAAGTTTACTATCCAAAATAAATCCTAGGAATTTAAGTTGATCCACAAACTCAATTTTAACACCATCAATAAAAACATCGAAGTTAACATTAAATCTATCCATTGGATTAAAGACAATAGCCTTAGTCTTCAAAGCGTTAATAGACAAATAGTTTCTTACAGACCAGCTAGAGATAGAACGAAGGCAATAATCTATATTAGTACACAAAACATCACTAAAATCACGACTGCAGCTAAACAGTAAAGCAACATCATCTGCATATAAAAACGTTTTGCATATAGTCGTATTAATGAGGCTAGGCAGATCATTAATGTACATATTAAACAATACAGGTCCCAGGACCGAACCTTGAGGAACACCTGATTTAACTCGAACTAAACCCGAATCAACACCATTAAGTCTTACATACTGGGATCTACCTTGAAGATAGGATAAAATAAGTTTACAAGCCGTCATAGAAAATCCAAATTCAAGTCTAAGTTTGTCAATCATCCTCCGAAAATTAATAGAATTAAAAGCCTTCGACAAGTCTAATGAAACAAGTACGCTAAAATGGTCATTATTAATATTTTCTCTGATAGAATCAGTTAGATCAAGAAGGAGAGAAGTGGTATTGTAACCCTGACGAAAAGCATATTGGGAGTGATAGAATTCTATTGTTGTAAAACTCAAAATTTGTTCCTTAATAAGATGTTCCATTACTTTTGAAAGTGCAGGAAGTATAGAAATAGGTCTAAGATCTTCAGGTCCAGTGATAACTTTCGATTTGGGAATCGGAACGACACGAGCCGTCTTCCAACCAGCTGGGAACTTAGAAGTCAACAAAATGGAGTTGAATAAGTGAATCAATAAATCAGATACATAAGGAAATATTAATTTAATGAACCGAATAGAAACGCCATCAGTCCCAGTAGAATTTGATCGCACTTTATTTAAAGCAATTAAAACTTCAGATTCATCAACACATCGAAATGACACCCCACTATCCGGAAATTGAATATTCTCTATAGAAAAACTTGTATCATCTACTCCATAGTTTACAAAATAATCATTAATAACATTAACATCCAAATTAGAAGACTGATCATCATCACCAAGACACCCAACATTCCTAAGCACTCTCCATATACCCGGTCCATCAAGATTACTAAATAATTTCGAAAAATATCGCCTTTTTTCAACACGAATAACTCTTTTTGCTTTATTGCGATGTTTGCAAAATATCTTCCAATTCAGAGCAGTTTTATTTTTCCTGTATGCTAGAAAAGCCAAGTCTCTTAAAGATTTTGCTAAAACAACTTTATTGGACGTCATCCAAACATCATTATCAAATTTGATTTTTTTTTTAACTACAGGCACAAAAAGCAATAATGATTGAAAAAGAGAGCATAAACTAGAGCATATTAAGTCCACATCACTGGAAGCATAAATTACAGATGTATCAAAATCAGACAAAAACCTTATAACACCATCCCAATCAATTCCATTATAATTAAGGTATTCAATATATTCATTTACATGACTTATATTAAAACCAAAACAGGCACATATTACAGCATGATGGGATAATGCAGGGTATTGATATTGATCCGAATATCGCAATTCCAAACTATCAGTAATCAACATATAATCAATTAGAGATGTAGAGCGATGAGAGATATCAAAGTGGGTTGGTTTGCAATTATGTATTATACTGAGCCCCAAACCTGAACATAGGGAACGAAAAATTACTGACTTCGAGGTGTCAAATAAATTATAATTAAAATCACCAACAATAATCACGTTGGAGTAAGTGGAAAGAAGCTGAAAATGTTCAGATTCGAAGGTATCAATGTCACCGTAAGGCAGATAAACCACACCAAACAGAATCTTCAAGTTGTTAAAATAAATTTCTAAAAACAATGACTCACAAACTCCAGGTAGAGTTGTTTTAAATACAATCTTAAATTTCAATGATTTAGACACATAAATGCCAACACCACCACCTCTTGAACCATGACGATCATTTCGGCAAAAGTTATAGCCCTGTACATTGACTGAGCGTGTTGAAATCTGCGGTTTAAGCCAAGTTTCTGAAATTGCAAACACATCTAAAAATGATCCATTCAAAAGATATTTAAATTCATCAAATTTTGATGTATAAGTTGAGGGTCTAATGCTTTGGCAGTTCAAATGTGCAACTTTAAATTGATTTAAATGAGGTTGTAAGATATTCTTCAGGTGAGTACCACTATTAATCAATGGACCAATATTATCATCAGAAAACATCAAAATAAGAAGCAAACATTACGTGGGGAAAACAAATAAAATTAAGTAAAAAGTGATAAAAATTTAACAATATTAAAATACTAAACATTATTCAAATATATTTACATTTACATTGGCTGACAGCTAGTCTAAAGTAAATAGGTATGAGATCAAAAAAATATTATATAACAAATGTAACAATTATGCAAATTAACTTTAACAATTAGGTTTTCCAAATAATTAAAACTGGCAATTCATATTAATTTCAATTATAAGTAATTAATTGTTATAATTATCATTATTCCAATTGCAGAATACGAACATAATCCTTTCATTTAATAATATTTAAATTTTCCTTCGCAAAGAAGAGAAAATAATAAAAAAAAGATGGCGTATATAATTATGGAAGAAATCTTTTGACATTTTTGTTTTCATGTAGCATGGAAAAATACCGTTGTATAACACTGGAGAAAGCGTTTTACAAAAATGAAATTTACTTGATAAATTAAAAAAAAAAATAGCACTAAAGAGATGTTTAAAATATTGGTATTTTATACAAAAGTTTCAAAATTATTACTTCAAGAAGACAATAATAACAATTATAATAATAACAAAGTGTAAAAATGAAAAAAAAAAAAAAAAAAATATGTATGCTTATAAGCATCAGTGAAAGAAATAAATTAATGTATAAATTAATGATCCACATTGGAATTTAGCAGCTCAGCACATTCTTTAATATTATAAATTACCTCATCATTATCAGAAAGTGTTAATTTTGCCTTAACTTTATCAGCATTTAGAATTTTATATTTAGTAATAACTTTAAGGCGAAGCAGTCGACGACATATCATATTAAGTTTGGCAGCAGCAGGAGAATGATGGTCATTGAGATACACCCGACGATCAATCTCACCACCCATTACATCACACACTTTCAGCGTACGCGTTTTGTAGTATTCCTTCATCACACAATCCCTCAAATGCACGCTATTAAACTTCACTAACAACGCTTTACGATTATGCATATAACAAACGTAATTTATATCACCACGGGTAACGTTAATATTATAATGGGAACAAATTTTGATGGCAGTAGCAACCAAATCATCCAGACCACCAGGCAACCCAACAACAACAACATCAGCGCGATTTAAACGTTTATGCAGCACATTATTCTCTTCTTCAAGAGCAGAAATTTTGGAGCTTGTGGATGCATCCACTTGTTTAATAAGCTTACTACAGTTTATAATGTCTGACTGCAGTTCCTTTCGATAAGAGGACATCTCAGATTTGAACTCATTTATGGCCTCAGTAAAAGCTCTTTTAAGGCTGTTCAAGTCATCTTCTTTACGTTGCATGTAGCTGTCAATTTTCTTATCGATACCAACAATTTCATCACGCAATCTCTTTTCCATTTCTTGCAAACCAGATGTATTATTGGAGCTACAGTTGTCGCAAAGATAAACAATGGACTTTACCTCCATAAGCCTTTTAAGTGTGTCTTCACTTATATTGACACACTTGGCATGGTACCATACATTGCAGGACTTGCAAAGGACACTTGTTTGTGTTTTATTAATGATAAGTGAACAAGTACCACATTTATAGGTTCTGGTTGAAGGCATCTTGTTGAAAACAAAAAATATTTGTGTACATAAAATGGCAGCAAAATTATGTTGTGTTTGCAATGTTCATGTACAATGTACGTACATACATACATATGTTGTGTACAAATGAAAAAATAATAAAAGCAACACAACAACACAGCAGCAGCAGCAACTTTAAAGATGTTTTACGGATATCTTTATTATTATATATTTAGATTTTTATTATTTAATGTATTTAAACTTTAATACAGTTAAACCAAGCGTAATTTAAAATTTATTAAAGCAAAAAGCACAATTAAATTGTATTTTAAGAAAATAAAAAAGACTAGCTGTCAAAAAATACGTCTACTCAGGCAGAGTTGCCATATTATTATTTTTATTATATTTATAATATAAACCTTATTCTCTTTTTAGTTGGATCATCATCATTTTGATTTCATCTCCGATAACTTTGCTCCCATACACACCATACCCGCTCCCAATTTGTCTATACAAGATAATCATTTGCATCCAGAGGAAACCTATTTGCCACCCTCTACTCCTAAGCCCCAAGTTTATCATCAACAAAAGTACAATTACCAAGTGAACGAAGACAGCACCAATGACCAAACTTATGTAGATCCTTTATCTGGCTCCCAAAAATTGGTTGCTCCTGATCCAGATCCTTCATTGCCTGCTGCCCCAGTACGTCCTGCCACAGAACCTTTCAATACACCCAGCAATGGCAAACCTTTGCCCGTTGATATTCAAAGCAATCATTTATCGGTGGCCCAACCTTTGTTGCAAATTGTAGGTGCCCAATCTGCCCAACAAATCGCCCCCGAAATCTATCCCATACAATATACACAACCTATTCATACCATCCAAGCTGCCGCCCCCGTACCCATTTACAATCCCACTTACTTGGTTCAACAATCGAATAACCTTTATACCCAACACCAACAACAATTGTTCAAACCTGCCATTGATGCTGTGCCCGTGGTAGCAGCTGGTTATGTAAATGCCGATTTGACTCAAGAGGTTGCCAGCAATGGTCAAATCTTGCAGGCTGCTAAAGATCCCCACAATAACATACATCCAGTTTTGGATGTAGCGCCACATTTTGCCCCCTTGATCGCTGCTCCTTCTTTAGATGAAGAACAATCGATTGATACGGCACCCTTCCATTTGCAAAATTTGGCTGGACCACCTTCAGCGATTACGGGAACCACTGAGGCAGGTTTTGTTGTGTCCAATTATTATGGCAATGCCCATCAAGATTCTTCACAATTATTACAGGCTTATGTTGAGGAAGAACAGGCAGAAGCTCAAAGACAGCAATATGAACAGTACGAACAACAATTGCAACAGCAGCAACACCACCAGCAACAACAACAGGAACAATTACATTTGCAACAACAACAACAACAATTGCATCAACAACAATTAGAATATCAACAATTACAACAGTTCCATCAACAGCAGCAACAATTCCAACAACAACATCCCCAATATGTTACCCCACAGCCCCAACAACAAGCTCTTGTACAACCACAAAGACATCAACAACACGATCCAGCGGCAGCTGCCTTTGAGGAACATCAACGTTTGGTACAGCAACAATTGGGTGCTGATACTCCCCTAAGAATCTTTGTGCCCGATGAAGAAGAAGTAATTAGTCCGCATCAAAGCTAATTCTAATTTTTTTCTAACAAAATTTATTTTTCTTTTCTCTAGGCCCGCTTGCAAAAGCGTTCCGACAACATTGTCAAAGGCACCATTGAAGATGTGGAAAACACCATTGGTGTCGAAGATGAACAGCCACAAGATGAATTATATGAAGTCTCCTCCTCTGTTGAGGTCTCCAATGAAGATCAACAGCACCAACAACAAGATGAACAACAAACAGAAACTTCATCAAATGAAGCAGAGTAAATTTTTAGTAAAATTTATGTTTGCAACACATTTCTAAACCAAATTTTTTATTAACGATAATCTCGAATTTAATTTATAGGAAAATAAACTTAATATTATTATTTATTTATTAATTTTTACACAAATTACACTTGTTTTAATATTTCAATATTTTTCAACAATTGCTTACACTCGCGCGAAGTTTGACAACGGTTTTAGTTGTTGTTGTTGCACAATGAAGGGAGAAAAAGCAGGGTTGTTATTACTAAAGTGAGAAGGTATTGCCAGACTTGTGGGTATTTAAATCAAAAGTTTGACGGATGTAAAAAATTTTATTTTTGGTATTAACGAAGGCATAGTTTGTATGTACACACCTGTTCAACATAATAAATGTCTGAAAAATTTATTTAAATTTAGAAAGTTTTTTCATTTTTTAATCGAAAAACACTTCCAAGAGATGATACAAATAGCAAAATAGCCTTTGAATTTCGAAACTAAAAATTATTATGTATACGATAATAATGTTATAGTCAATTTTAGTAATATTTAACCTTAAATTATTTTAAATTAAATTTATTTATTTTATTTAAATTATTTTATTTTTAAATCTATTCCTGATACCAGATCATATTTAACGGTATTTTTCCCTCTGGCAATGCTATACTATAGTTTACTCAGCAGGCCGTGTTTACATTACTGTTCAGCGGTTTATTTAACATTTAATATACATTGTATGCCATACAACTCTGTGTTATTGTTCTTTGAAGTTTGACATTTCATTTATTTGGTTTTTAACTCACGGCAGAAACGCACGCTTTTTGTGAAATTAGTTTTGCAATTTCTTTTTTAATACAAAATTTAAAAAAATGATTATTCCTATACGTTGTTTTACCTGTGGCAAAGTTATTGGCAACAAATGGGAATCTTACTTGGGTTTACTGCAAGCCGAATACACGGAAGGGTATGTATTGGAGAATTTTTGTATGTGACATGGAAAAGTATTTTTAATGTTTCTTGTTTTTGTAGTGATGCCTTGGATGCTTTGGGTTTGAAACGCTACTGTTGCCGTCGTATGTTATTGGGTCATGTAGATTTGATTGAAAAATTGTTGAATTATGCTCCTTTGGAGAAATAATGTGGAGTGGATACAATTAGATTAAGTTAGGTTTTTATAAATTAAATGATTAAAAATATATACAAATTTTATTAAAAATAGAAAATTTGTTGTATTATTCTTTAGATTTATTAAAAGATGGGTTTGGGAATAAAACAAAATGCAGTGTTCTTTTAACAAAAGAGCAAACAATTTATCAAACTGGTTTATTATAAAAAAACTTTGAAAATATACAATAGATTTTGTAAAATATTGTCCTTTTACCGCGACAAATTACATTTTATCCATAAACCAAGGTTGGCCATTGTTTTCGCGGCGTTTTGTTAAGATGTCACAACCAGTATCAGTGACCAGCAAAGTCTGTTCAAATTGTGCCGAATACAAACCATCAGCTGTAACAGCAGTCCAATCATCAGGCCATTGTTCAGCCTTAGCCACGCCCTCGGAAATCATGGGTTCAATAGTAAAGCAATGACCCGCTTTCATAACACCAACAGCCGAGTTTTCTGGAAAATTTAACAAATTATAAAAAAATTCTCAAAGTTGTTTAAATAAAAACAAACTTACTTGCATAATGAGGCACATTGGGGGCAGTGTGGAATAATCTGTGGATACCATGACCGCAATAGCTCTTGACCACACTAAAACCATGAGGAGCCACATACTTTTGTATAACATTGCCTATCTCACGGTACTTGACACCAGGTCTCACCAATTCTATGGCTTTCGATAAGGCCTCATAGGTAACACGCACCAGTTTCTTGTGTTTTTCCGATACATTACCCACAAAGAAGGTTTCATTCAAATCGCCATGGAAACCATGATGATAGACGGTAACATCAATGTTACAAATATCACCATCCTTGAGCGGTCTCAAATCGGGTATGCCGTGGCAAATGACTTCGTTAACAGAAGTGCAACAGGACTTGGGAAAGTTGTAGTAGTTCAAGGGAGAAGGATAACAATCTCTCTCAATGGCGGCCTCATGCACCAAACGATCCAACTCATCTGTGGTAACACCTACATCTACTGCTTTGGCAGCTTCATCCAAACATTCACGACCTAAACGGCCGGCCACACGCATGGCCTCAATTTCCTCATCGTCCAAAACCTTAATAGAAGTATTACCCCTCATGGCCTCTTCAGAGGCGGCTCTACCCTGAGGATGGTCAGCATAATCTGGACGTTCTATGCTCTCGGGCACTGCCCTTTTAGGAGTTTTTTCATAGGGCCTCAAAGGACCGGTATAGCGGTAGTAGGGATAGGGATTATAACCGCACTCTTCATTGGACTGTTTGGGTTTGGCTACTCCCTCTACAATAAATAGAAATTAAAAAAATAATTCCGTTTAATTCTTCCTCTTACTCACCGGCCAAAGCATGTATCAACTTGTGCTCCTTCCAGAAACCCTTAAAACATGCCTGTGTACAAAAGTAAGAGCCTGGTATGCCCATTTTTAAACAAGTGGGACATTGGAGAGTCGCCTCTTTGCCACAATCGGGAGTTTCACATTTGTGTGCCATTTTTCCAAAATTCTGTTGCAACTGAAGTTTGTATTCCGCAAGTTTATATAAAATGCAATTTATTAAAAAAAATGAGCTAAAAATAGTTTATTCGACTACCACCGCATTTTCTTTGAAAACATCTGCATAAAGGTGTACTACAAGGTGGGATTCATAGCTTAACTAATAATTTTATTTTAAACTATAGCTGTCAAAGTCTTATGTTTGTTGTAAAAGAAATGTCAACACAAACAAAAACAATAGGCAAATTTGACAGTTTCACACAACAAAACAAAGTTTATCTTGCATGTTGTTTTTGTAATAATTGTGATAGTTCCACAACTGTTTCCACCTTATAATTGATTCACCTAAAACCACTGCTGCCAAGTTTCTAAATGATTTTCTACTACTCATGAAAGTAAAATAAAAGTGTTATAAAATTAAATTCGAAAATTATTCTTTTTAACACAAAAAATCAAAATTTAATTTTTTGTCAGAAAAAACTTTTTTGTAAAAAATTTTAATAAAAAATAATAACAATTAAAAATATTTCAACATTGAAAGTTTTCTTATAAATTGAATAGAATAAATTTTGATTTTGAATTTTCTATTTATAGGAAAAACATTTCGATATTGGACTTTTTAAATAGAATAATTTCAACATAGAAATTTATAGAAAATACTTCATATTAATCTTTTTATTAAAAATTTCGCTATAGAAGTAAAAATTTCATTTTTATAGCAAAATTTCAATATTTATTTTTTTACGAAAAAAAAAATTTAAGTTTTTGTTTGAAAAATGTCTAATTTTTCCAAACAAAATTTTGCTATTGATTATTTTTATATAAAAAGTTTCCATATTAAAATTCCAAGAATTTTTTGTCAACATCTTTATAAAAATGTTCAATATTAATCTTTTTCTTAATTACAAATTTCGATATTAAACTGTTCCTTACAGAAATTTGTTAATATTAAAATATTTTTATAAAAAAATTTAAAATTAATAATTTTTAAAAGCATTCTTGTTACAAAATTTTTTTATAAAAAATGTTCCATATTAAAACTTTTAAAAAAATGTAAATTTTATATAAATCTTGTACTATTAAATTTTTTGTATAAAAAGCTTTTGAGACTGACATTTTTTTATTAAAAATTGAATCAAAATTGAAAATTTTTTCTTTAAAATAAAAAAATTTTACCAATAAAAGTTCTAAAAAATTGATTACAAGTTTTCTTAAAGAAAAAGTAGACATTAAAAAAATACATTTTGATTTTTATTTTTATATATTGAAAATCCTTAAATTAAAAAATATCTCCTTGAATTATTTTTAAGGAAAAAGTTTCAAATTAAAAATATTTCTATTATATTACATATTTTAATTTATATAATTTTTGTTTTTGTAAGAAATGTAATTTTTTAATTATTTTGCTTGAAATTTACTTATTAAAAATTAAAACACATTTTCTACTTTCATTTTAGTATGACACACACTCAATGGGTTAATGGCAGGATTTAAATCGAATTTAAAACAAAAGCGACGTCTCCCAAACAACCAACCACCTTATTAGATTTCAAAGACAATTTGTTTGTTTGTCTCATAAGAAAATCTAATTGATATTAAGACCGTTTTTCCAATTACCCAGACAGACTAACATGTGGGCCATAAATACGCAGGGAATTTCCCTTAAGCCGCATAAAACCTAAAATGCGAATGAGGGTAAGAAAGTGACACCTTACAGTAAATTACCAGCAATAAAAAGGCAGCAAGCACCCTCACCCAAGTTCACGCAAAAATAAATCAAGAAAATTCTCAGAAATTAATATACAAACGTGTACGAACGATGATGGTCTTATTGTAAACCACTGTACTTTACCTACATATTATTGTTGTAATAAAGATGAACAAGAAGCAATAACAACATCGAGTAACCAGGCATGGAAAATTGAGTAGTTAGACGAAAAAGTGTACATAACACTAGTCAGTGAAATGAACGTAACTAACTAACTAACTACTAACTAACTAACTAACTAACTACTAACTAACTAACTACTAACTAACTAACTAACTAACTAACTAACTAACTAACTAACTAACTAACTAACTAACTAACTAACTAACTAACTAACTAACTAACTAACTAACTAACTAACTAACTAACTAACTAACTAACTAACTAACTAACTAACTAACTAACTAACTAACTAACTAACTAACTAACTAACTAACTACTAACTAACTAACTAACTAACTAACTAACTAACTAACTAACTAACTAACTAACTAACTAACTAACTAACTAACTAACTAACTAACTAACTAACTAACTAACTAACTAACTAACTAACTAACTAACTAACTAACTACTAACTAACTAACTAACTAACTAACTAACTAACTAACTAACTAACTAACTACTAACTAACTAACTAACTACTAACTAACTAACTAACTAACTAACTAACTAACTAACTACTAACTAACTAACTAACTAACTAACTAACTAACTAACTAACTAACTAACTAACTAACTAACTAACTAACTAACTAACTAACTAACTAACTAACTAACTAACTAACTAACTAACTAACTAACTAACTAACTAACTAACTAACTAACTAACTAACTAACTAACTAACTAACTAACTAACTAACTAACTAACTAACTAACTAACTAACTAACTAACTAACTAACTAACTAACTAACTAACACTAACTAACTAACTAACTAACTAACTAACTAACTAACTAACTAACTAACTAACTAACTAACTAACTAACTAACTAACTAACTACTAACTAACTAACTAACTAACTAACTAACTAACTAACTAACTAACTAACTAACTAACTAACTAACTAACTAACTAACTAACTAACTAACTAACTAACTAACTAACTAACTAACTAACTAACTAACTAACTAACTAACTAACTAACTAACTAACTAACTAACTAACTACTAACTAACTAACTAACTAACTAACTAACTAACTAACTAACTAACTAACTAACTAACTAACTAACTACTAACTAACTAACTAACTAACTAACTAACTAACTAACTAACTAACTAACTAACTAACTAACTAACTAACTAACTAACTAACTAACTAACTAACTAACTAACTAACTAACTAACTAACTACTAACTAACTAACTAACTAACTAACTAACTAACTACTAACTAACTAACTAACTAACTAACTAACTAACTAACTAACTAACTAACTAACTAACTAACTAACTAACTAACTAACTAACTAACTAACTAACTAACTAACTACTAACTAACTAACTAACTAACTAACTAACTAACTACTACTAACTAACTAACTAACTAACTAACTAACTAACTAACTAACTAACTAACTACTAACTAACTAACTAACTAACTAACTAACTAACTAACTAACTAACTAACTAACTAACTAACTAACTAACTAACTAACTAACTAACTAACTAACTAACTAACTAACTAACTAACTAACTAACTAACTAACTAACTACTACTAACTAACTAACTAACTAACTAACTAACTAACTAACTAACTAACTAACTAACTAACTAACTAACTAACTAACTAACTACTAACTAACTAACTAACTAACTAACTAACTAACTAACTAACTAACTAACTAACTAACTAACTAACTACTAACTAACTAACTAACTAACTAACTAACTAACTAACTAACTAACTACTACTAACTAACTAACTAACTAACTAACTAACTAACTAACTAACTAACTAACTAACTAACTAACTAACTAACTAACTAACTAACTAACTAACTAACTAACTAACTAACTAACTAACTAACTAACTAACTAACTAACTAACTAACTAACTAACTAACTAACTAACTAACTAACTACTAACTAACTAACTAACTAACTAACTAACTAACTAACTAACTAACTAACTAACTAACTAACTACTAACTAACTAACTAACTAACTAACTAACTAACTAACTAACTAACTAACTAACTAACTAACTAACTAACTAACTAACTAACTAACTAACTAACTAACTAACTAACTAACTAACTAACTAACTAACTAACTAACTAACTAACTAACTAACTAACTAACTAACTAACTAACTAACTAACTAACTAACTAACTAACTAACTAACTAACTAACTAACTAACTAACTAACTAACTAACTAACTAACTAACTAACTAACTAACTAACTAACTAACTACTAACTAACTAACTAACTAACTAACTAACTAACTAACTAACTAACTAACTACTAACTAACTAACTAACTAACTAACTAACTAACTAACTAACTAACTAACTAACTAACTAACTAACTAACTAACTAACTAACTAACTAACTAACTAACTAACTAACTAACTAACTAACTAACTAACTAACTAACTAACTAACTAACTAACTAACTAACTAACTAACTAACTAACTAACTAACTAACTAACTAACTAACTAACTAACTAACTAACTAACTAACTAACTACTAACTAACTAACTAACTAACTAACTAACTAACTAACTAACTAACTAACTAACTACTAACTAACTAACTAACTAACTAACTAACTAACTAACTAACTACTAACTAACTAACTAACTAACTATCTAACTAACTAACTAACTAACTAACTAACTAACTAACTAACTAACTAACTAACTAACTATCTAACTAACTAACTACTAACTAACTAACTAACTAACTAACTAACTAACTAACTAACTAACTAACTAACTAACTAACTAACTAACTAACTAACTAACTAGTATCGACTATTCCATATAATATTCCATATAGTCCATAGACGTGTTCTTTGACTATGCCGAACACTAGCCCATACCCCATAGATTAGTATCTAGATAAAATAGAAGACTGGTTTACAGACTAATCTAGAGACTTAATATTTAGCAGCAATAATTATAACATAAAAAGCATTTAATATGTCACATTTCAAAATTTCAAATAGTACGAAATTAATTAGAACATAAAAAGCATTTAATATGTCACATTTCAAATAGTACGACATTTTCCATCCCTGGCTGTAACAGCAACAGACAGCATCCATCAGCAACATATCTCCGTCACACAGTTGCACGCACACACATTCTTCTATGAATACTTGTATGCTTTGTTGTTTACAAGGAAAATACGATGTGGGAAAACAACTACAACAACAACAGCAATAAGAAAGATGATTCTTCTTTTTATTCTGGTTGTTGTCTGTTGTTTGTGGATGCTGTTCGGTAGAAATCTGTCTGACGTTCTCGTTCGTTTGAAATGGTTGAAAGTAAATGGAAACTAAACAGTAAATTCAGTTGAGTTCGAGCTGCCAAACGTAACGGTTGTTTTTTGAAATAGAAGAGAAACACTATATTCTAATAAGTGAAATGTGAGAAAAATAAAAACAAAAATAAATGTAAAAAAAATAGCAACAAATAAAAATATATTGGAATAATACGAAATAGTATTTAGCAGACAATAAAAAAAACAATACGAAAAGATAATACCAATCAAAAGAATATATAAAAACAGTTATAAAGAATAGTAAATGCTTAAACTCTAGCAACAATTTATTTGTTTATGTTGACATTTATAAGAGAAAAAACTACAATAACAGAAGCGCGCGAAACTGTTTTTCAAAAAAAAAAAAAATTGCAATAAAAAACAAAAGATTTATTAACGGGAAAAACGACTTATCGAAAGGAGAAAACAAAAAAATTTAACGGTAAAACAGTAAATCAATTTATATTAGTTTCAACCAGTGCATTCGAGTGTGCTTGTGAGTGTTTTTGATTTGTTGTTTGATTAAACTAACGTAACGTTGAATAAAACGGAAAACGGAAGTGTTTTGTACTTTTTTTTTTGCAATAAATGTTATAACTGTGTGTGCGTGTGTTAAAGTGTTAGTGTAATATTTTATAGACTTAAAAAAGTAGCTTTTCAAATTACATACTTAACAAAATAACGCATTTTAATTCAACATTTCGTGGCTTCTTTAAATTAAAAAAACTGGTAAGTAATTATTCATATTTCTAAATTTTACAAATTGTCCCTTGTATAAACTCTAATTAAATCAAATTGCCTAAGTTTAATTATTTATATAGTATGTATATAAATAGTATTATTTGTTATAATTTTTCCCAAAATAAAAAAATAAAGGAAGATCGTATGTTTGATATAGTATGTATATACATATGGGTATCTGTGTGTCTATTAGTGATACTAGAATTGTGATGATGATAGTAGTATTATATTTTTTTATTTATTATTGTTATTTTTCATATTTAAGTCTTATCAGTTCTATGACCAACCATCCATACATTTATACATCCATATATGCACACACACTTGTATGTACATATTGGTACATATTTTCGTATTTGTTGTGTCAGTTTCATCAATAAATTGTTGACAATATACAATGCCACACAGTGGTTTGGAAAAGAAAATATTTACCTCAATTCTGTTACCCACTTATTCAGTATCTCTAACGGAAATTTCATTTTCAAATTTTGTATAAAAAACGCTTTAAAAAATTTCAGTGTAAAATTAATTTTGGCTCATAGAATTTAGAGACATACTCCATTTTGTAATGTTAGTTGTTTGAAAATTTGTTCAAAAATGTTTACAATTTTCTTTGGAAAATGTTCTTATTCTTATTTTTAGATTGAGAACATTTAAATATGAGAGTTGCATGAACCTTCATCTTGACACCCATGACAACATGAATAGCTAAGAGTCATTATAAACAGTTTAAAGGCTGTATTGTAGGTCAAAGTTCAGTTACAAAAGTAAGTTTTTTGCAAGGATTATAAAGAAATTATATTCAATTTGGTATCACATTGAAGGTCTTCGAAAAGGGCTTTCAATGTGCGATTACAAAAATATTCAAAATTTTTTTGTGTTTAAATTTTTAACAGAGAACTAAAAACTAAAAGAATTTTCGACTTTTTGCGATTTATGAAAAGTCGACTTCTGCGTTTTTTAATATCCACTTTTCGACTTTTTTTCGATTTATTGAAACTTTTTTCGACTTATCTATTTTGTCGACATTTCATTATTTTTCTACTTTTTTCGGTTCTTCTCGATTTTTTCGACTTTCCCCGACTTTTTTCGATTTGTTTTTTTTGCAAAATCGATTCTTGATTTTACAATAATGTCGTTTAATCGACTTTGTTAGCACAAAAAGTTGACTTCGATCCAGTTCATCATATATTAACCGCAGTACAAAAACTTTGAGGATTGGTATCTAATCTAAACTTTGATTTTCGGTAGGGATATTTGTAACATATTTTTCCTCTAAAGAGGCCACCCTAATATACATATATACTTAAAATTATTGGATTACATGGTCCATTTAGGAAATCCCACAACTCCTCCCCTGTAAACATTTTTGAAGTACATGATCCGTTTAGTAGTTTAGTAGATCATGTTTATTTTTTTGAAAACAACAGCTTGTGGACCTGTATTAAATGGGACTATGTTGCGGATTAGTTTTAGAATTACTCTGATGTGACATATGGATGGAGTACGAGGTCCTTTAATAGGACTTCACAATGTTAAATTGAATATGTTTTTTGTCATATATTTGGATCTGTTTTGGTCCAGTCCTACCCTGCATAAATTATTGAAGTACATGATCTATTTGGTTAATTCCTAAACTACTGCCCTGTAAATATTATTAGAGTACAGATCCATTTTATAGTACTATGTAATGTAGGCATGGATCATGTTTATTTCTTGGAAAACAACATGTTCCATAACCTGCATTACATAGGACCATGTTGCGGAGTAGTCCCATAATTTTAGCAAGACAGTAGTTTTAGGTAGTCCCATGCATTTGTTTATTACATGGACCTCGCCAAGGACATCATAATGTTAAATGGAATATGTTTTTTTTTATACATTTGAATTAGTTTTGGACCAGTCCTAGTCTTTTGAAGAGTACTCTATACACGCGTGTTCGGAGTAGTCTCAATTTTTACATGGGGTTTGTGTTAATATTATCCCGATTTTTACATTATTTTTAGAATGATTTCTGATCAGTTTAAGTGCTTACGCACTCAAGATTTAAGCTTAATATTTGTATAAGAGTTATTCCGTAGGGATATTACGCATTAGAACTAGTTAAGAAAAATTATAACCCTTGTAAACCGTTATTTTGTTTACAACTTCTTTCTCTTCTCTCAAGCCACTGTGCAAGATGCGTTACATACAGATATATTTATATTGGAGACCCTGTTGCCAGTAACAGTAACTGTGTATGTGTGAGTGTGTGTGTTGTTTATTATGGTGATTATAAATAAAGCTTATCTTTAAAACAATTTTGTTTATTTCAACTGTGAGTATGAGTATTATGTCGTCTGCCTTTCAGCCTGCCTGTCATTCAGTCTGTCCATCTGTACGTCTAGCTGTCATTCTGTATGTTTTCAATAAATGTATAAAATTGAATTTTTTCAAAAATTTAAAAAAAATTTTTTTTTTTGCTCCCATCGAATACTATGATACGAGATACGAAATATTGTCGCTGCGTCTTACAATTTAGCATTTTTCATCTATAAATAACAACGACACGTTTTTTGTTGTAGTATTTTTCTTTGTATTACAAATATATTTTTTCGCATTTAGTTTGTGTTTTTTTATTATTATTTTAATACAATTCTATACATTTCTGCACACATTAATTTAGATGCGTTTTCTTAGAAAAAGAAGAAGAAAAAAGTTTTCAATTTGTTTTTTTTTTTCTACAATTGTTGGTTTTTATTGTGTGAGAGCGTGTGCTTTTCTGAGTGTATCTTCTAGTATGTATTTTACTTTGATCTTGGATTTTTTTTTGCTTAATCAAAATAAAAGAAAACAAATTATTCTGTTGACATCGTTGTTTTTGTTGTCGTCATTTTGATTGCATTTATAATTTTCCCTTCTTTTATTACGATTATTATTTTTTATTATTTTGCGGCTTTATAAAAGTTTTTTTTTCTTAAAGAAGGAGAAGAGCCCAAGTTTAGTTTTAGTTTAAGAGTGCAATTATTATGTGTTTTTGTATACCTTTGTGTATGCGTTTGTGTGTCACTGATTGTGCATTGTGTGTGGGAGATTAAGTGAGTGACAGACAGACACGCCGAGTGAGTGTTTGAGTACAATAATGATAATAATAAATATTGTACTCTATTTATGTGTGATGGGTATGTGTAGTATTTATAATCAAAATGTATCATAATAATTTTTATAAACAAAAAAAACTTTAAATGAAAATAACAAAAACAAAGAATTTATTCTACGTTTTTTTCTCTTTGAAAATTTTTATTTATGGATGTTCAAGTGAGTACGATGTATGTTTTACTGGAACCGGAATAAATTTTCATACTCATTGTTGTGCATATTGTTTTTGTTGGTTGTTTTTATAATAATATATGCAGATTTACATACATATGTGTTTGTACACTGTTACATGTATACACAAACACACACACACATTCGCATAGATGCATATTTTACACTAAATTTATGAACCCTGCAGTTTGGGGTGGCTGTCCCCTGTAAAAATTCAGACTATTCTGCACTCTTTAAAGGACTAGGACTGGTCCAACTCTAATGAAAACATATTAAAAAACATAATCCATTTAAAATTGCGTTGTCCTAGATGAGGACCACGTAATCCATCCATGCATTACATCAGAGTAAAAATTACTCCCTCGACAAAATTATAGAAAACATGATCGGTAACGTGGTCTTATGTAATGAAGCTTTTTAAAAAAATATACATAATCCATGCCTGCATTATATGGGATTACTAAACGGATCAATAAAACAGGCCGACAAATTTTTAACACAGATATCTGAAGGATTGAGCTGTGCTGAATCCAAATATGTCCTCAAGTCCAAAATTAAATTTTTTCCTATAAAACGACTTTTTAAATTGTTTAAAAATCTGCTGTAATTGCTGAGATATCATCCGTTGAAGTTGATGGATGGACAGACATCGTTAAATCGAATCAGAAAGTGATTTTGAGTCGCTTGAAACATCCTCATGTACATACATATGTAGGTATGGATCCAATAAGTTTGATCGTTATAAACAATATTTACATAGCATAATATTCTCCGCATTATAGTAGTATATGGTATAAATACAATGAATATACCGAAAATCATGAGTTTTCATGTTTAAGGTGAATATATCTCGAAAAAGAAAAACGATATGTCAGATGTTAAGCCGTTATTTTAAAGTTGACAAAATGGACTTTCAGATGACATACAACATTTTAGAAATAAAGTTGTCTTGGCGCTGTTATAACGTTACCTAAATATATCATGTATTTGCTATGTTACGGAGTATAATATTTAAAGTATCTACTCTCTAGATTACTTAGGTACACTTATGTAAGTAATGACTGACTTTCTATTCATTACAAAGAGTATATAAACTTTAGATAATCTAAAATCATAGAGACTACTGTATGTAAATGTCAGTCTTCAGTTTGCTTTTTCATTCGCCTTTTTTAAAGTTATACCTTGACTCCTTTTGAAATACTGCTGGTATATTGGATATGGGATATACGCCTGTATTTTAATACATTTGTTTGCATAGTTTTATGCATGCACTGGATTGTTAGTAAACATGACAATTATTTATTATTCGTTCTTTTTTTATGCAAAAACAATATGGAATTTTCTTTTATAAATTAAAAATAAAATGTGTATGTGTGTGTATGTGTTAGTTTGTTTAAATAAAAATGTGAATTTATTTATAAATTGTAAATTGTTTTGTAAATTCAAATATATCTACATAAATACGTATGTATATAATACTCCTGCTGGCATTTTAAGATATCATTTTTAATATTTAATGTTTTTAGTGTATTTACTAAATATTGTAAAATGATAGAAATTCCTGGAATTAATAATTGTTAGAAAATGTTTATATCAATAGAAAATTTATTAAAAGGTCAAAATTTGTATGAGATACAAATGGAACGTTTCGAGTAAAACTAGTCAATAGACTAGTCTAT